TATACAGCGTAACTTCCTCCGTTTATACGCACGTATACGAGAACTAAAAAGCTACTAAAAGTATACGTGTGAGAGAGGATGCAAAGGCGAGCTAAAGACTGGAGAAAGCAGGAGCAAGCCCGAGCAGAGATTGCGGAAGTGCGCGATGGCGTGGGAGCAGCGGCGAGGCGAGGAGAAGCGAGCGCCAGGTCGGCGGCGGCGCGCAGCCGAGTTGAAAACAAGGTCCCAATCAATCCGCCGCGAGGCGCCGTGAAGCAGCCAGACGGCCCACCCACCGCGCTCACCCGCCGCGACCGCCCGCCTGTGCGCCCCCAAGGCGGAATAACCGCGTCATGCGGCCCGCGGCGCCCGCTCTTCCTAACGCCCCACCCCCGCTCCCTGTCCTGCTCCCGGATCCCGCTCCCGCTGTCTCTTCGTCATCCACCCTCTCTTTTCGCATACACTCACTCCCATCCCCGCTTCCTCTCCCGCCAACGCATACCTCTCGCCTCCGCTTCCTCTCCCGCACCCTGCTGACACCCCCGCACTCTCTCCCTCCCTGCACCCTTTCCCACCCTGCTCCCTCATCACTACTTCCACCCCCTCAGGCCCCACTCATCTGCTTCCCCTCCTCCCTCCAGCCACAGCTCCTGCCTCGCCTGCACTCCCGCCTCCGCCTTCGCTCCCTCCCACCTCTAAGTTCTCGTCTTTACCCCCTCTAATGCCCTACTCACTCTCCTCCCACCCTTCACCAGCTGAATTATCTCAAAGGCAGTATTACGATTTATAGCTGCACTTTGCATGGAGAGTGACTAAAACGTCCCGCGATTTAGAATCATGACGGGGACAGATTTTTGACACTAGCTACAGAACTGCTCTGATCGATAGTTTTCTGTGGTTTCTCTAATCAAAAGAGGAGAATTTGAGGGCAGCACAGTTTCACAGATGGACCACGGCCGATATTTCCTCTCCCAACATTATTCCCTCTTCAAGCTATACACGAACACTCAGTCGTCTGTGTTACACACCATCACACATATCAATACACTATTCGGGAATTTTAGAGCTTACCGCGGCTAGGACGGTGCGCCAGTGAAGGATATACCTAAAGTCGCCATTTATGTTGGCGACGGATATAGCTTCTAACGGGAGAGAAACATAGCTACATCTTGGGATAGAAAATGCACCACATCTATCTTCCACCCTCCTCGCAATCGCCCACTCCGTTCTCGTCTCCTGTGGCCATTCTCTGTCCCCTCTCTTTTTCCCCGCTCCCTCGACCCTCCGTCAGCCCCGATGGTTCGCCCCAGCCCTCTCGCCTCTGCTCCTTCGCACCAAATGCCACCCCGCCTCCCCTCCACTCCTGCCCTTATCTTCCGCTTCTCTAACTGCCGCGTCCAGGTCGTCCGGACACATCTGACCGTCCTGTCTCTCTCTCTCTCTCTCTTTCACATCCTATCTCATCGCGCATGGTCCTTGCCCGCCGCTCCTATTCAATAAGAAGAGAAATTACAGAATTAGAAAAGGACTTTGCTATTAATTGCCTATCCACAAAGTGTTGTATGGCCATTAACATTGTCATCTTTCGCTGTCTGCAAAGCAGAATTGTTCTACATTGGTCATAACAGCCGCCATTAAAACCGCACAACAATACCTATTGTATTACTATTATATAATATTAATATATTTCTCTCTCGATTTGGTGATTTCGATACCCCGAATTAGTTTTTATTCGGTACTTAATGAAATAAATTCGTGGAGGCTTAGGCTTATTTGATTATTGATCCTGTAACTATGAGATATTATTTGACAGAACCAATCAAAGAAAATTATATTTTTCCATAAATATTAATATGTAACTCAGAGTATACGAATGGATTGAACATGTGCTACTATGGCGATGGGACCGTCCATTTACAGATTTACAGACATCATGTATCGTTTATAAATAACTCAGATTAAAATAAGACTTCGATGTTTGCTCGTTGTTCACACATACAATTAAATTGTTTACGTTTTTGAAACATATGAGGAATGCAAGTGTTACAGAAGGTAACACTGTTTAAAAGCAATAATCGGGGGCCAAACTGTCTGCAGTGGCCCGCTGGAGCTGTAAACGTGCAACTCACCTTTCACTAGACTAGAACATATCGCGCTCGCACGTCCCCCTTCCGACTTCCTGACTAGTCAAGCAGAAAGCCACACAGATTTCCCGCAGATAGGCGCTGGGCCAGGGCATGCAGTGTGGGCCAACTTCATTGATTGATTAGTGATTCCGGGCGCGAAACGACTAAGGTGATTAGTCCCGTAAGTGTAGGGCATGTTCTTTCCTTGTGAAGCGACGGTGATTTTTTCCCACTGGGTAGTGAGATCCGGCGCCGACCACCCATGCTGGAACAGACTCCAAGCATCCGACCGGACTCTTGTGACACTGTGTCTGACACTTGTGATAATGTACTGGGTGAAAGTGTGTGTGTAAGTAAGGGTGAGGATAGGACATGGAAGATGTAGAAAATCGTGCGTGGTCTGTGTCACGTTTGCTAGGGTACTGCTCCAGCATTATTCGGGTGTTGATCGAAAAAACACGGAAAACTACTGATCGGAGCAGCCGGCCGCTAGAAATCTCCTCCAGACAGCGACTGAATTCGACCTAGCTCTCTAGCCAGTGTCAAAAATCGTGCCTTCGTCGGGACTCGAACCTCGGACTCCCGGTCAGAGTCATCAACTTACGATCTGAACCATCTCCCCCGGTACCGCCCACTTGAGCAACCCTGGTGTGGGACGTACCTCTTGCAGCGACGCCCATTCCCCGTCCTACAATGCGCGCGCGGCGGTTGGCCTTTTCGAGCGCGAGCCGCAAAGACCTTGAGATACTCCGCAATCCCGCGCGAGCACCTTAACCCGGCTTCGCCACGCCGATGGGCGGGCGGCGCGAAGCGGGGAAGAGCGGAGCGGGGCGGGGTGGGGCGGGGCCGGGTGGAGCACCGCCGCCTGTGCCGCGGCAAACAAGCGCGCTAATTGCCCCGATGCGCCGCTGGAGGCGCGCCAGGTGGCAAGCAGGGAGAGGGAAAGCGGAAGGAAGGAGCACGGGGACGGAGGAAAGAATGGGAGGGGTGAGGACGAGTAAGATGCGTAAAGGATTCGAGGAAGGGAGAGGAACGAAGAGGAAGGAGAAACAAGCGAACAGAATGGGCGGGAAAGGGGAGGTGATGGAAAGGGTAGCGTTAGGATGTGCAAAAACAGAATGACATAAGAATAGGTGGGGGGAGTAAAATAGGACTAAAAGTTGGAGGAGTGGGATAGTATATATTGAAACGAAGGTGGAAGGAGACAGTGCAGGGGACGAGAAAGTTCACGCGGAAGGGATAGGTGGAAAATGAGAGATGAAATGGGGAAGGACAAGGGTAGGAGATGCGAAGAGGAATTGTTTGCGACGCTAAGAAAAAGATTATGAAAAGCGACGCGATAGGTTGGCATTAGGAAGGCAGGGGAAGAGAGAAGGAACAGTCGGTAAAAAGAAGGAGACATGAAGAGGAGGAGTTGTGAAGAGAAAGGAACTGAAAGAGACTAAGAAGGGGAGGTGCGTGAAAGGAACGAACGAGTGAACGAAAGATTAGGGTGAATTAGTAGGAAAAGTAAGGAGGACGGGTAAATTCTGGGAAGACGCCGAAAAGACGTGGAATGGACGTATCACTGTGGTGTAGCCGACGGAAGGGGATGCGGTCGAATGCTTGAAACATTCCTTCAAAAACAGATCATTATAGATTTTGCACTATGCTACTCAATATGAAGTATATAAGCAGTATTCAATATCAATAAAGAAATGTTTGCCAATAGAACGAGGATATCTGTTACTGCGAACATTATTTTGTACTAGCATTACTGCAAACACTTCTTTTAGAAACAATTCCGTTAGGAAATCAAATTGCAAAATAGTTTACATTGTAGTAAAATTTCAGATAAATTCAAGTACTTTCGAAACAAAATAGATGTGCTCGTAGCCTGTAATCTCAAGGGCAAAGAAATTAGCATCTGACTTTTGAACAGGTGTTGTGATGTCTGAAAGAAAAATAATATAAAAGTATACATAATAATGCGCAATTAAACAGCCTTCTGATTAAAAAATTATGTATTTAATGGAGGACTATGGACGCATTCAAAGAAATATTTTGACACGGCAGTAGGTACTGTAGGAGGAAAAGAAAATGGTGTATTTAGAGGTTTCATAATTCAATAGTTTATACCTTCAAAAACTCTTTTTTTACATTGTCAGTGGGTTAAAATGTGCCATTAAAAGCAGTTGCTCTCACTCACGAAATATGAAGAGTCCTGAGACGGCAGAAAGTGTGAAATCAGTTCCCTAAAGTATAACACGTGTACTTCCAGTTGCCCTCGGCATAAAGGTATCCTCTCCACATGTTTAGTTAAATGGGCTGTTCACCTATGCGAATCACGTCACCAGTCCAACCGCTTGGCGCATCACGCTATATAATCATCTTCGTCAACTTGGCCACGTTCCTCAACTCTATTGACGTAATTTGGGTGGGAAAGAGGCGAAAAGGGACTAATCGAGGGGGGCGCGGCGCACGGGAATGACCCATGATGGTGGGAGCAAGTGTTTCAAGCGAAAGATACGTGGCGGTTTCTGTAGCATAACGGTTAGAGTATCCCAGGTGTGTGCCCAGGTTTGCTGGTTGGAACTCGTGGGTTTTAAGAGATAAAATATTTCGTACCCATTCCTTCGCATTCCTTCCTACAACTAAAGCTGGTAGTGTAAAGTAACCTAAAGCCGAGAAGAAGCCTCTGAGCTAAATTCAAAATCGTCTGTTTCGCCGACCGAGAAGTATCTTCTTTCTCCACCTCATGGTGAAAATTTGCGTGGGCTTGATGGCCCGAGGCTCGCCATGTAAAATATGGCGAACTAACTGACTGTTGCTCACTTGTTTTGTTGCTATTCGTGGGTGACAGGTACCGTAGGGTGCCCGGGGGGCTGCCAAAAGGGGTAGAATCTTTTGATAAAAATGGCAGGTTCAGCATTGAGAAGATTGATGGCAGAGTATAAACAACTAACACTGAATCCACCTGAAGGAATTATTGCTGGTCCTATTAACGAGGAAAATTTTTTTGAAGCTTTAATCACTGGACCTGAAGGAACCTGTTTTGAAGGTGGAGTATTTCCAGCTAAATTGATCTTTCCACCGGATTATCCACTAAGCCCTCCAAAAATGCAATTCACCTGTGAAATGTTTCACCCCAATATATACGCTGATGGTAGAGTATGTATATCCATTCTTCATGATCCAGGAGATGATCCAATGGGATATGAATCTAGTGCAGAGCGTTGGAGTCCGGTGCAAAGTGTGGAAAAAATTCTCTTGTCTGTGGTCAGCATGTTGGCTGAGCCCAATGATGAAAGTGGAGCAAATGTGGATGCTGCCAAGATGTGGAGAGAAGATAGAGCAGAGTTCAACAGAATTGCTGAGCGAATTGTACGCAAGACACTTGGAATTCTAACTCCGTAATCTCTGTACATTCCATAATACTTCAATTATTTAAATTATGCTCAAAAGGAAATTTTTTATCTTCCCAGAATGAAAGGTTGCTTCCTTCAGTGCAGATAGCACATTTAGATAAATGTACATAAATATCTTAGATGTGCTGTTAATGTTTGTTCCAACATTATTTTGTAAACTGAACTAAAGATTCTGGATGGGAAAAAGAGGAGGTGAATGAGAGAATGGTCGTTGACAAGCCGGCGTGTAATGTAGGCTGCGAGGGGTACTTGACTTATTTGAAAGCTCTGACCTTTTAGAGCACGTTGTATTACAGAAAAAAGGTCCACAACCAGTATTGTATTATTGTATTGTAATTTTTTGGCAATTTTAGACAGTACAGAGAGTTTGCCGAAAATGGGAACAGCATCAATTTGTTGACGTATTTGTGTTACACTACGAAAAATATTATTCAAAGAAACTGGAGCCGACTTTGAGAAAATAATTGTTTAAAAACTTTTCATATTTCACATAAAAGTAAACGAAAACTACTGATGTTTTGGAAAATTGTACAAGCGATTACATAAAATTGTTTTAGCAATTACATAACGTATATTACATGACATTAACATCAGTTATAAAAACAGTGCTAAAAGTAATACAGCATACATATCCATAATAATATACAAATCTATAAAATAATGAAATTTTGTTTCTGAATAAATGTAAAGAGTTGAAATAGATTTGTACACACTTATATTTAATTTAAATTTACAGAATTGAAATCCTTTATAATCCTCAGATGTTAGGACGAGTTCTGACTCTTGCACTCCTATTTTGCCTAACTGTGTCTGATATGCTGAAATTATTTATTTTCATATCTATATTACTTTAATTAATATGAAGTTTCGAAACAAATACATCTTTGGGCAACGCTAATTTATAAAATTAAATGATCTCCGTCCCAGAAATACCTAAACATCCACCACCAAGCATATATTTCTAAGCCGTTTTATACATTAAGGTTGATTTCACAAAAATATATATTCACTGTAAAATCACTATTTTCCCTTTGTTTGAGTTACAACTCTTTCCGAAAAGCAATGCTATGCCTAGAGCTGATATCATTGGCGCACGAGAAGGGGCGTAGTTGAGCTGGAGTGGGCGGGAATGGGGATAGGAAAGAGACATCCGGCGGTGAGAAGTTGTTCAGGTGGTGGTGGCAGAAGGGGAGGCGCGCGGATATGTGTAGTTGAAACGTGCGAGCAAGCGGGTGGCTATTTGGAAGTGTAGGTGGTAGAGATTGAATTGTTAGTGGACGGATAAAATGAATTCGAGTCACAAGGTATCAGATGCAGAAGAGGAGGTGGGATGAGATGAAGACGTTGAGTAGGAATGACACGGAGAGGATGAAGTAACAAGACGGAGGCGGACAAATGGAGGCAAGCAGGTGGGACGAGTTGAGTACAGGCAGGTAGGTCGAGGTGGAGGGGTTCAGAAAGTCCCAAGTGGAGGCAGAAAAATGAGACGAGATGAGGAGAGAGCTGGAATGAGGTATGAGATGTAAGCGTGAATATGAGATGAGGGGAAGGGGGACTGGGAGGAGAAACGAAATGTAGGCGAGGAAGTAGGACGAGATGGAGGCGGGCGGATGAATTGAGCAGGTGCGAGAGTACGAGATGGAGGCGGGGCGATAATGCTGGTGTGCACCCGAGAGGGCGTGCAAGCATGTAAACGTGCGCGTTGGTTCGACGTGGATACACGCGTGTGACCCGACGCGTGTGCGCGTGGGCTGGAGCGAATGCGGGCGGTCGGGCAGGCGGGTCGGTCGGGCAGGCGGGTCGGGCGGGTCGGTCGGCGGTCGGTCTCGGTCGGTCGCGTCGGTCGCGTCGGTCGGCGGGCGGCGGGCGGGCGGCGTGGCGGCGTCGGTCCGGTCGGGCGGCGGCGGTCGGGGGCGGCGGCGGGCGGGCTGGCGGCGGGCCTGGGGCGGGCCTGCCGGCGGGCCTGGCGGGGCGGCCTGGCGGGCGGGCCTGGCGGAGCGGGGCCCTGCGGGCGGGCCTGGCGGGCGGGACTGGCGGCGGGCCTGCGGGCGGGCCTGGCCGGGGCGGGCCTGGCGGGGCGGCCTGGCGGGCGGGCCTGCGGGCGGGCCTGGCGGGCGGGCCTGGCGGGGCGGGCCTGCGCGGCGCGGCCTGGCGGGCGGGCCCTGGCGGGCGGCCTGGCGGCGGGGCCGGGCGGACGGGCCGGGCGGACGGCCGGACCGGGCGGGCGGGCCGGGCGAGCGCGGGCGGGGGCGGGCGGGGGGCGGGCGGGCGGGCGGGGCGGGCGGGGGGCGGGCGGGCGGGCGGCGCGGGCGGGCGGGCGGGCGGGCGGGCGGGCGGGGGCGGGCGGGCGGGCGGGCGGTGGGTCTCGCAGAGCGGGAGCGGTCCGTAGGGCGTGGGCGGAGAGGTGATGGGAGGTCGCAGCCAGGAGCACAATGCAGCACTCATTACTGCGCCGCAGATCCATAAACAAGCGAAGAAACTCGCTGCGCGCATTGCGATGCAGCGAGGCGGGGCTGGGCAGGCCGTGCCGCGGACGACACAACACAGCACAGCAAACGCGAATCTAGGGCGAGGCCGTACGTTTTTTCCGCGTTGTTTTTACGTCGCCTAGATTAGCATAGGAAGTGGCACACTCGGTATAAAAATGAATTCGTATGTGTGCCTCTGAATAAACGTGCCAAAGCACAGCAGGAAGCAGAGAGGAATACGGTTATCGTTTCTAGTAGGGATGAAGTATTGGCATTCTCGTGTCCTCAAATCTCTCAAAATGAGAGAACAATTTGAAATAAAACCTGCGCCTCTATGCGTGCCAACCTACTCCTCCTGTTTTTATTGTAACAAATGTATTCTAGATATTTTCGTTTTTAAATTATAGAACACAAAAGATTTTCTGTACATGTGTTACGCTGAACATATCCACAAATTTCTTGATAAATATATATTTATTCCGTCTTACGATGTTTACCTTCTATACAAGTTATAGTCAGTAGGAATTTATATGCAGATAATAGAAAATATATTGAAATCTGTAAGATTGAGAATCCAGAAAATTAAATATATACCTTGTTCAAGAAGAATTAAATTTCCGCGAACATCGAAATACAGTCAGTACCTTCTGTATAAGTTTCAATTAAAATTTATTCACTGTTTTGTTACCAGGGCTCGGCAATAACAGTTTTCTCTCGAAAAATCAATGTCTTACGGCGCACGAATCAAATACATTATCGTCTTACGAAGTAAGACAAGAAAGTTAAAATGATCATTGATCTTTAGAGATGTAAAAACAAGAGTCATAAAAAAACCACTCATACATTTCTCCCAGTTTGTGTATTTCATGTATATGACTGATACATCTAAATGGTACTAGTTAAGGACGAATTGTAGCCTGGTCGACACAAAATCATCTTAGTTATTCTTACATTTTGCAACCCAAGATAAACAAAAAATGGACACAAATACAACAATTAAAATACATAACTAATCTGAGTTAAACTATTTAATGATTATAATTATTAACCAATTACGAAGCAACGGAATCCCACAATCATTATTTTAAAATATCATACTGAAATTTGTTCATTTACGTTACAATACGTAATATTTTAATAAACATATCCTCCCACTCAGAGCATACATGCAACGTGATGTATGTAGTACATCATATGATTATTGCCTTTTCCACTGGGTGGCGTACATGTTAAACTTTTTTAATGCATCATGTTTCTTCTGATTTGAGAATTTCATTGCCAGTGATAGCTAATTATTTCCTAGCCAGCTATTACACAAATAATACATACTGATGCGCTCGCCTACGCCAGGAATGTCCAACTTGCAAGGCCTTAAGGGCCGCAACATGATTACATTACTCGAGCGATCCACACGTGACCCCATCTAGTTGATCTCGACAGTTTGCCTAGCTGGTCTGAAACGAGGGGGCGGTGGAACCATGCGTGATATCAGGCCGAACCATGCAGAACGAGGAGAAACATATTAGGAGGATTATGAATTTCTGAATTTCCAAAAAAAAGTTCATAAATCGAAACTTAACCTTTTTTAAATTAAGGGGTGTTGATGCAGCCGGGGCACGTGCGATATCGCACAATGTTCTCGCCCAACATGGACGAAAAGTATTTTCATTTTTGACAAAACCCATTCACGGGCCACAATAAATGCCACCGCGACCCCATGCGGCTCTCGGGCCGCCAGATGGATACCCCTGACCTAATCCCTCTATGTAACAGATAAGGGCCGAAAGAATTTGGACACTCGAATGTCACTGATCATGCTGTCTCACGACTCTGGCAAATAAACCTGCAGAGTGCATTGCCAACGGCACTAAAACCCGGGACTAGGTCAATGGAGAGCAGATGAGACTCAGGTTAGCGAGATACGGGAAGCTATATAGCTCTTTGACGGGAGCGACCGCTTGAGTAATCATCAAAGCAGAATTGTCGTAATGACGTGAAAATTACAGACATATATGGAACGTTGTGTTGCATCGAATCTCAACCTTGTTTATGTGCCGTTACGTGTAATGAGAAATGTCGACAGCAACAACAGTTATCCTCCTCCACTTTCTTACTCGTAACACGCTATCGTTCTGTCTTGATTACGCATCAACTGTCATTTCTTTTCCTCATTTTGCGTTCTTCTCCTTCTCCATTTTGTAGATAATTATCTTGCTGGTTTCCTCTTCATTTCTTTTTCTGTTATTTTCGAATAGTGTTGAATAGTGTTTTCCTTTAATATGGATTCTCCTCTCAACTCCCAATTTGTATTCTACTTTCTCTTATTTTTCTCTTCGTTCTCATTTTCTCTTTACACTTCCTGTACATATCTTCACGTGTCATATTTCTTTTTTCATGCATTTCTCTCTCTCTCACACACACACATCTTTTCACATACATTTCTCTCTTTCTCTCTTTCTCTCTCTCTCTCTCTCTCTCTCTCTCTCTCTCTCTCTCTCTCTCACACACACACACACACACA